AGAAGGCCAGTCCTCGGTGGGAAGAGACCGCGAGGCTGCTTTTCTGAAAGAAGCCTGTGGGAAGCCGCTGACAGGGAGTTTTGAATCAGCTGCTTCAGAAGATCATGAACGTTCCTACGAGGAAAACAAACAGCTTGAAGTTGGGGATGCCCATGTCACACCTCCACACGCATTACTCGGTGTTCGACTTTGCATAGCATCAGGATTTGAGCTTGGCTTGGGATATGAAAAAACAGAGGCGAGAACAACATCATAAAAACGTCGCCCTGCAACCAACCCTGCTCAACAGCCGCTCAACAGCCGCTCGGCCATTCATGGATCCCAAAAGCTGATTGTGAAAAACCAGCTTAGGCTCAGCTCGGTACTAAAACAGTACTATAGACAAATACTCAAACATCCCCAAAACAAACCCCAGCGTCTGGTGGACGATTCCAGGACCTCCATGGCTGCAAGGATGCTCTGCAAGTCCTCCTGGCGAAGAAAGGACAGACCCGTTGGATTGGCGGTGTCCACCGGAGCCGAGGACTTGGCCGGACATGAGGCCAGACCGCGGTGTCCACCGGAGACCACCGAGGGTCCAATCGAAGCGGTCGAAGCGGATGGTCAACAAGAATCAAAGCGCTTGAGCGGGGGCTTTGAGGGGGCTTAAGGGGCGGCTTAAGGGGGGGCTTCGGAATCAGCAGTGAATATCTTCAGCTGTGAGTGCAGATCGGCCAAAGCCCCACAAATTCGGCCGAACACGCCGCTCGAGGGCTCGAGCGGCTCTGCCCCTTTTCCGCGGGAGCTTCTTCCAACCCAGAACCATCCTCTCAAGGACCCAGGGCTCTGCTCGGCTCTCCTCCTCCGGGAATTCCGTCAGCTCTTCCAAGGTGGCCTGAAGCAAAGGTCTTAGAACATTGGACGGCACGGCGGAGGGCACTGGAGCAGGAGAAGGTACTTCCCCCCTCCTGATGAGCCTGAGGTTGCGTTGATTCAAGCAGACCGTGACCTCAGTATCTATGACTATCTATATGAGCCTCAACACATCAGTATCCTTTCACGGCCCTTGGTAATATTGAGGTCGCCCGGTCCCGCCTACACCTTGCATGCAAAACTTTTGTCAAGCCCCCGGTGCTGGCAAAAGACCTTCACTTCCTAGCTGGATGTTGGCCTTCTCCAATGAGTGCCAACTCCCCATGAGGCTCTTGGAAGCTTTTCAGACTTGGGTCGCATCAGTCCTGCACGTCCACCTCCTCCTGATCTTCCTTGCTCTTCCAGCGAAAGGCTTGCAGAGAGGTAGACACCACACCTCAAGAGGTTTCACGAGCATCCAAGAAGGAGCTATCTGCCCAGGGCTTTTGGTGTGTTTGTTCGTGTGTTGCTCTTGTTTTGGGCAATCTCAAGGTTTAGGTTTCGCCTCTGGTGGATAGGGTAGATAGCATGTAACATCATATCCACTTGAACTCGTTCTTGCCCGGGAATCCCTGTTTGTTCGTCCGTGCCCAAAATGTCTGGCAGACATAAAGGTTCCTGGCAGGTGTGTGTTTGCTCGCCCCCGGTAGACTAGACTATGGTATGTAGTAGACAGGTCGATGTTCCCAAACCATTTTAGGTGGTCCGAACACCTGGTGTCAGTCTCCCTATATTTTCATACACCGCAAAGTCATGCAAAGTCCAAATGTCAAGGAGAAAAAAACAATCGGACTCGCGAAATCGGACGCGAAATCGGGCGGCTTTTCGCTGGAAGCATCGGATGAAAACATCGAAAAACGACACAAATAACCTGAGAGGATCCACCCTAAGAATCCTTGGGTCCTCCATGCGAAGGGTTGGACACGACCTCTTAGGGGTCGGGACCCGCAAAACCGCAGATTTTTAGGGCCAAAGGTTGGCGGGCTTTTTGGGCCAATTCCATCCAATTCCTACCTAGGTCATCCTGTCTGGGCATCCGACTACACAGCCCACTGCTCGACTGGACCTCCAGGGACACCCAAACAGGAGGATCCTGGTGTGTCTTTCTTTCTTCAGAAGTTGGCCCGAGAGCAGGGGGATGGATGTACATCTCACTACCTTCCCGATGAGCCAAACAGGGCACAGTACGCCATGAGAAGAATCATGATTTGCTTGAGAGAAGTACGCCTGCGGTGGCATCTTGTCATCCAGAAAAAAACATGAAAAACATGTCCAAATAAGAATCACAGGAGGGGGTATGCAGTTGGGGGGTCCCCATTCAAGTCTCTCATGATGAAAAACATGTATAGGAGCAAGGACGCTACGAACGGGGCTCCTGGCCAGCACCCGAAGCACGGCCGTACGGGCGAAGTCATCCCTTGGGACCTGGTGAAGCACGGGTCATTTCGCTGACAGGGCACGGTCGCGAAGCACTCTGAGGTAGGTTGGGTTGCCGGCTTCGGCCATCTCATCGCTCAACTCCTGAGAACAATGAGTCTCCAAAAGGAAAGATAGCAACAAAAAGGCTATAGGGCCTCAGAGAGCTCCATCTGGACCCCTTTCGAATCTTCCGCAAATTGGTAATCCTCAATGAGAACAATGTACATGACCCACTTCCAAAGGCTATGCAGTGCTTTCAGAGTATATAGATGGCACTGGCAACCCAAGATCTATATATATAATGACGTCTTTTGGATGGGGTCCGTTTTACACGCACCAAACCTTGGGGCAACAAACTGGTGCCATCCACTCTGAATGTAGAATGTCGTGTAAGAACCAGACCTGATGACTTCCGCTTCAACGTTCGACCTCGCGTTCGACTTCGCCGCTTGCTTCGGTCCTCGAGGGTGTTGCGCAGCAAGACGCGGAAGAGCTGCAGGAGCAGCTGGGGCCCCTCGATGCTTTCCTCACTGGAGCATGTGATTGAAACCTATAAAAATAACAAGAAACACATGAGGGACGGTCAAGAAACGTGCACACACCATGCTGAAGATGTCCGGACAGTCACAACATGTCACAACCACTACCAGGATCTCAGCTTCATCTCGCTTCTGCGGTGGACCATCTCTCGTGCTCAGGATCCATCCACGGGTGCCCCCCACCGTGCCCAATTATAGACTGGACCAGGCTCTGTTTCTTCCGAGTGTCTTCTCATCCGTGTTTCTTGATATCTATACGTTACACCCTAAGGGGTGATTATTGATAGCCCCTTAGAGGTGATTCGGGATGTCCATGTCTACCACCCCGACAGTGGGTCCTAGTCTTTTCGCTTCTCGGTCTCACCGATCTCTCCCCGGACTCGACCGAACTGGTCCGGTCCGCGGCGCGCGCCCACGTTCGGCCGACGCCTCCGCCGGGTACCGGGCCGAGCGGCCAAGTAGTGCAGCGCCATTTCGGCGTCGCGGAAGGGATCGAAGAGCCTTTCCGCGATCGTAGATCGAGGGGATCGCGAGCGAGCACAAGGGGCGAAAGGTTTTCGGGTTCTTTTTGGGGGGGAGGGTGGGGGGTCAGAAAGGCTTTCCGCCAAGCCCAACACCAAAAGGAAAAGTTTGGGGCACATGAGGGCACCAGTTCTCAAACAGTCCAAAAAGAAATTGTCTTCCAATTTCAATTCCACGGCAAACTGAGTGGGCTGCCAAAATGCTCTTAGCGGCTAAATGATGCTAAAATGATCCCGTGCAGTTCTCGTGGAATGGCCTGACCGTGGAAAAGGGCCTTAAAGTGCACGCTTTGCTCGCTGTCATGCAGCTTTGTGGTTGTCTTACATTTAATGCATTCAAGCAAAGCCTATGGCGTTCAACCTCCAAGTTTTCACATGAAGCCTCACAGTGGAATTGATGATCGGATGATGATCGGATGGCTGGATGTCCCTACGTCCTAAACCGCCGAGTCTTTCTAGGTTCTTGACTAAGCTGCACAAACCGTTCTCCATCCAAATCCCATCTCAAGCAGGAGGCAATGGAGGTCACGGAGGACGTATCACACTCCACGATTTCGGGTATTGGCAAGTATACTGGGGAGATCTGGGGAGTATACATGGAAGTGCCACGTCCAAACATTGGGCGCCTCTATGGAAGTCACAAGGTCGACCAAAAAAAAAAGGCCCTCAAATCGCTGGCTCAATGGAAGCCAATGGGTTGACTGCACCCAATTTTCCCTGTTGAATGGGAACGGCCCTGAAACCCATGAAACCTCTCTTGGCCCGGCCTCTTCTGTTGCTCTGAGGCCAACTTAGGATCTGTTTGCTCCCACAGCTTCTCAAGCCATGCTCGCGGGAAGCCACCATTGCCTTCGTTGCAAAACACCGACCCAGGTGGTGTGCCATATTGGTCCACGCCAAGTTCGGCGGACATCAAAACGACCCTGTCAAGCAGGAAGTGTTTGATCTTCATTTAGATGGTAGCCAGGTCTACGACCATTGGAGCCCCAATTTCTGGGACGACCTAATAACTAACTATATATACCGTATATACCTCATTTCCGCTTTCTGCTTTCGCGCCGCACCAAAACACGAAAGGGGAGAGGCCCATGAAACGAGCAGTTCTTCCGACAGGTCGGTGTCGCCACTTCGTTTCACCGACGCCGACAGAGGGCGACACACCGACAGGTCGGTCGGTGGGCGTCACCCGCCGAGTGTCTCCCGTCGCCGCCGGGGAGAAGTCGAGTCGAGAGTCGGTCTCGAGTCAGTTTGGGGCGGGGGGGCAGTGGGGGGTTCCGTGGATGAGAAGCCTCAGTTGCAGGCCGACCTTCCCATCTCCAAATCAGTGATCGTTGATCGACGAAACTTGCGGTTCGTGGGACACGCAGCACGAGCGCACGAGCTTTCAAGGGTCTGGTCGAACGAGCTATTGGAGCCGCCGGGAGCGGAGGGGCGGAGGGGCCTGTGGTTGTTCCCCTTTTTTGTTCATCGTCGTTGAGTTCTTCTCTTTCTTCACGGTGTCACCAAATCGACGACGTAAGCTCCTTTTGCATCTTTTTGCATGTTGAAAGGAAGAACTGAAACTCTTGACCAAACAAACTAATGAACGTTCTGAACTTGTCCTTCTGAAGACTCTTCTCGACCGCAGAACTCATGCCAGGTCACTCAAACCTTCAATCTCCTCGCGCCACTGGAGGAAATCCTCCAAGTCCGCTTCCATGTTCTCTGCCTGGCAAGGGAGCGGCGCAGTTCTCTTTGCCCCCGGCAGTTCGCTCAGCAGACGTGCGGGGTTGTGAAGAAAAATTGTAACAAAAAGAGCATGAGTGTGTGAAAACACATGGCACGCTATCAGGTGCCGCCATGTCCAAGCTACCACATGAAACTCAACTTCCACACCTGTGAGTCCCCACCCTCCTTCCTCATTCCAGCGGGCTGTGCCTTGAAGGCGGCCACATCTGCCTGCATCTCCTTGCCCAAGCTCAGCTCCGCGCGCTCGGCGCTCTGCTCGGCCAGGCCGGCGGCCGCCATCTGTCGCTGCAGCCGTAAGTCCTCGGTGAGCAGCGCGGGGCACAGCAGCGAAGGCACCTTGGGACGGGACAGCGGGGCTGACCCGGTCGATGGAGACGAAGGATGGGATGGCCGCCCCCCGCGTTTTTGGGCTTGGATGTTTAAGGCAACATGCCCTAAAAATTAGAAAAGCGCATGTTAATTAGTAGAGATCCCACCGTTCACTGCCAAGAGAGGAGGGGTGTCCTGGATTTATCTTGTTTGCTGTTGATCCTATAAAATCTATGCAGTCAAGGTGACACAAAAAGTATAAAGTCTCAGGTTTCAAGTTTGACATCACACTCTGGAACTCTGGAATCAGACTAGGTTGTCGAAGTGATCATCCCCTTTGTTGACCACTGGAAGTGTACCTTGTTGTTTGGTGTCTTTTGTTTTGGGTGATCAACGTAAGAGTCCGTAAGAGTTACTTGGATAAAGCCTAACATAGACCACCTCAGGAATCTTTTTGATAGTAAGTAACAAACTTAAACCAACATACGTGGCCTATCAGCGCTAGCTGTCTGGTGGCACCACTCCCAACCAAAAAAGCCGCCGCTTCTCTCCCCAGGTCCTCCAGGTGTCTTGCACGACCGGGTCGGTGGATCCACCGGCCGGGTCGCTCATCCTCCTCTGACTCTCCTTCCACCATCCGGTCCAAATCGCCGTCCCTCCACCGACGGATTTCTTCGCCCGGCCACCACGCAGTTCCTGCGGCCGTTGCGGCTCACCTTTGGACAGGACGGACACCGATGGACATGGACAGCGTGCGGTCTGGGGGGGAGGAATTGGTCTGTTCGAGGCACTGGACGGTCTTGCTCTGAACGATCTCATGTCATCTGTATTTCAGAGACTCCGGATTGGTAACAAGCTGCAGGACCGTTTCTTTGGTTTCTTCTAGTTTGGGGGTGTTTCTTCGGGTTGACTTCACCCTGTTACTGTTACTACTCTGCGACCCACTTCCCACTGGCTGCTTTCCCATCGGACTAACCAGCACTGTTGACTATAGGCTCTCCAAGTCCTGGAAGGTGCGGTGAAGCAGTGGGATGAGGTTCAACGGCCACAGCTAGAACCCATGTGCTTGATTCCAACTGAAAGTTGGAGTTGAACCCATTTCTTCAATCCCGGACACAAGGGAAAATTCATCCATTCCCGGTGAAACCCTTCAACAGCTCCACCCGCGGAACGCGGCAAAAGCCGCGAAGGCCGGGACACGAAGCTGCCCTGCGCGGCGCGAGCCGACGGAGCGGACAGCGCAGCGCTCGATGTCTTCGCGCGGATGCTCCGCTCGAGAAGCTCCATCTTCTGCTGCGCCAGGCACATGCCTCAAACGTTCGCTTGACGTGAAGAAGGTTCCAAGCCACGCGATGAGTCGAAGGGCTGCAAAGAAGAAGAAGAAGAAGAAGAAGAAGTTGTACTCCGAAAGACGTTCGGTCGGTTCGAGCCAAAGGTGATAGCCAACAGGATCATATTACCAACAACTCCACGGTGCCCGTCAGGGCGATTGGTGACATGTTTTCATGTCCTTGGAGAGGTTGATGGGAAAAAGCCAAACCACTCAAACACCGCTATAAGAGGAACCGGGCAAAAAGATCTCCTTTCCAGGAGTCACAAAGGGGTGCCTATTGGAGGATAGGGGTGCCCATGATCCACTCACTTAGGGACTAAACACCACCCCTTTGTGACTCCTGGTTAGGTGGCTTTGTTTGGCTTCCTTTGGGCTACTGTCCCAGCTGCTACTGTCAAAGAGCTCTGTCCTGGCGGACGCATCCAGCCGAGAAGTGGTGGCCATAGCAGAGTCCGCGGAGGGAGCTTCCAAAGCATCCCATTGCCTGGACCGGTCGCGACCGGAGACAACGGAGGGCGCTTTTGGTGACTTGATGCCCTGTTCCTTCGGTTCCTGCGCATGGCTTGAGAGCATGGGCTTGGTGCGAAAGTGTGACGTTTTGGGGACCATGGTGTTTTTTAGTTCGTGTTTGTTTATTTTTTTCGGTCAAACGCATTAAGTAACAGTTTCTTCCTTGTTCTTGCCAAGAGGGTGCGAGATCGACGAACCAAGGTAGCATGGACCCTGTGAATGTGTCGGTGATCCCCAAAAAGGACACCCGTCTATCCTAACTATTCAGGACGCTGGCAGTCTAGCATCCGTTGCCAAAGAGATACTAGACTGCTTCAAAAGCGTTCGATGATCTGCTTTGATGCCTACACCAAGCAGCAGACAATGTGATTATAAGGTAGTCCTCATCTATACTTCTATGGCACGTACAAACCTACAGGTGAAGAACTCCTTCGTAATGCAGTTTCCAATTTCACCAGCAGCTTCATCTGGTTACTGGTTGAGCAGACGGCACCATACTGCCAAAGTGCCGGCGCATGCGCGCCAGCATGCTGCACCACAGCATGACAGCTCCTCAATCAGAAAAGGTGCCCATGAGTTGTGAACTCCAATAATAAGCTCCATAACTGAAACTCACACCTCACACCATATAGAACACATCAAGATATTGAAAAACTTGAGTTTTACAGTATGACAAACCAAAGTGTATTGGGTGTTTTCAACTGTCCTTCTCCCACCGGCATCCAAAACTATGAACACCACGAATCCCATTCCGGACACTAAAACAACATCACATCACCCAGTCACCCTGTTCTCCCTTTGAATCTAAGGATTCAATGTCAATATATCATATCTTAAATATATATATATATTATCCTGTGCACCTCCTTTCCATCCTTTTCCACATGACCACATGACCCCCGCCTTTCATCCACCCGTCACCCCATCATTGCCCCTCACTCCGATCCTTTGAAGCACCGCATCTTGGCGCTCAAGACCGCCATCTGCACCAGGCGCCCTCCACGTCGCGCGCCCGCCGCACTGCCCAGGTCGCACGTGGCGCTCAGATCGGCGCGCCGTGGGACCACCGGGAGGGACATGCAGAGATCGGTCATGGAGAGCATTTCGCCTCACCGGTGCGAGTTGGGGCCGTTGCTGGGACGGGGGTTTCGCCAAAGAAATACCACCGTTGCTGTGACACTCATTATAATCTTATCTTATACCCTGAACATCCCTGAACCACGCGAACCGCGAACGGGCTGGAAGCTCGCCCATCTCCCCCATCGGAACGCGCCGCCTGCGGTGGGCAGCAAGATGGACTCCAAGGACTCCTGGATCGCCGCCGTCAACGAGGCCATGGCCGTCTTCGGCACCTGCCACCCCGCGGCCGACTGTCGGCGTCAACCAGCACCCGACACGTGGCGGGTGTGGACAGAGGGGTGTGGACATGTGTGGACTGGTCCCCTGTAAAACGGGGGTCCCGACCCCAAACACGACAGCAAACAACAATACCTCAGGATCATCCTGGACATGGGTGTCCTGGCGGGCTAGACTACCCTACCCTAGGTAAACAGGTCTCCAGACAGGGCACCCGGACAGGAAGTGCTAGGTTTAATATAATCACAATATGATGTATGACGACATCAGGTTCTTCACACCACCTCATGGGTGCTTACGACAAACTGATGGGTGGGTGAGTATAGCCCGAAGTAAGGTGTTTCGACAGTTGTGCATCCAACCATGCAAAACCCTTAGAGTTGAGTTGAGGAGACCTTGAAGAAGCCAACATGTCTGACAGATCAAGGCCAATCCAGGGCCCCAGAAGTAGGAAACATCGATGACTTGACTCAACCCAACATGAAAAAGCACCAGTCTTGTCGATGACCCCTGCCACTGATGGGTGGCCATAAGACAAACCACTTCACCATCTCCATCTACCTGAACCATCGCGTCCTTCATATCTTCACATGCCGGTTGCCTGCCAGTGTCACATCAACAAACCCCCACAAAAGAGGAAAGAAACACTCGCGCCTGACTGTGCATGCTCTGCTCCGCCGAGCGGATCTGCTTTGCCTCGCGGCGGAAGCCCAGCAGCGCCTCCAGGCGCGCCGTGCGCGGCGCCGTGGCGCCGCCCGCGGCGCCGGCGCTGCGGCGCAGCAGGCGCAGCTTCCAGTAGGGCGCGGAGCGGGGGTCCAGCTCGGAGAAGTTCCTCGGGCGATCGAAGCGGCGAGGCAACGGTGAAGAGAGGAGTTCGGAGCGGGAAGGCTTTGGGACGATGACTCCTCTGGGCGGAATCCTTGGGAGTCGGACCTGTTGGTGGGACTGATGGAGCGAACAGAAGCCATTGGCCCCAGCTCGAAGAACCCACAGTGTAGTGAGAAGCGAGGAATGAGCGTTCCCCCTTTGACCAATGCCTGCAAAAGGATCTCTATGTAGCAAAAAAAAGGCCCAGGAGCAGGATTTGTCCTGCCCCATTTGAGCCATCGACCCTCAAATCCCCTCAGTCGCTTTCGAAACCGGGAAGGTGGTCCGGACCAGGTGATCAAACCTCCAAGCCTCGCATCATCCACAAAGGCACCCAGGGGGAAGGCTGGCCTCAGTGAACGGTTTCATCCAGTTCGACCCAAAGCGTTCCTGGCAGCTGAAGCTTTCGCTTTCACAGCAAGTACACTCACTGAAAGAAGCACGGAAGTGGATGGTACGTTCGTAGAGGAAATGGGTCATCCGAAATCGGGCCTATGCCATCTACTTTCAATATGATGAGTTCAGGATGTGTTTCAGAGAGTGTATGGAGCACTGCGAGTATCAATCAACGCACAGACCCAGCAGAAGATCGCCATACTCATGTTCGAGGTCTTGGACAGACTTCGTGAACGGTCTGTCAGCACAAATCAACCGGTTCATACTGTCTGCAACTCTCACATAACATGGAAGTGGAGCTCGCTGCTCCACTCAGTCATGGCTGGTTCAGCTGAGGAACCACAAACAATGAAGCTTCATGGACTCAATCGCATCCTCACCCTCTTCGCCGTCGACTTGCCTCAGTATCCACACACACAGGGGACAAAGGAAAGAAATGGAAGTGACCCCAAAAAATAACCGCTCTAAAACAGTTTGTTAAAGGAGAGCCATTCCCCTCCGAGCAGAAACCCTAGACTTCGTGAGTTGCACTCTTTGATCATGTCACTGGTCGTCGCATGGCCCGTGTTAGAACCGACGAGGGCTCGGCATCGCTGGAGGCGCTGATGTTCAGCCGTCAAGTGACCAAGTGTCAAAGTGATCTGCAGAGTAGGTAAATCGGACTCCCACCATCATGGTGCATGGCTCCTCGGTGCAAAGGTGGCTTTTGGGGGGCTGCAATCCGGGTCAATCCATGTCTCAATCCGATTGAATCAAACACAGACCAGAACAAAACTCTTTAGTAAGCAAATGCAACAACTGCACCAACTGATTTGTTCCTCTCTCACCACAACCTCCAACGCAGGCAGCTTTGGGCACACAGGCACCCGGGCATGTTGACCTGTCTAGCCCGCAATGTAAGTCCAGGGCGAAAACTCTCTCACAGAGCCGCACAAGTCGATTCACAGCTTCTAGACTCTCATCAGTCAATGCAAATTCCAGAAGATATGTTCAAGCCCCATCAAAAAAGAAAGCATCAAAAAAACAAAAAAAGACCAATGGGGTGGTGAACTTCACTTAACATCCCAATCTCACTTTCCAATCTCACTCTGCGCCATGGCGCCCGACCCATCCCGCGCCCACTCGGCCACCAGCTGCGCTCCTTGTCATCGCCCACCTCGGCCTCCACCTTGCGGCGGAAGAAGTCCGACAGACCCGCCAAGTGTTCCAGCGACGGCTGCACCGAGCTGTGCAAATCGGTACCTGACCGAGGCAGCGACGGCGACGACCGCTGCCGCGTGTGTGGCAGCACGGCGTGAAGCACGGCTGGCTGGTTGCCAGCGGAGGTTGGAGAGAGAGAGAGAGAGAGGGAGAGCACTCAGACCAACCCCCAGTTTCGGGGGAAGCGAAACTGGGTTCAGACAGCAAGGAACAGGAAGGATCCGGTTTGGAAGATTTCTGTTGGGGGAGAGCCTCCAAGCTCAAATAGGCAGACAAACGTATGCCTTAAGTCATCACTTAGGATTCTATGTGCCCAATCCGAAAAGTCAATCCCCCCAAAAAAAGAAACATCAGACTGTGTTGGAAAATGTTGGAAATTCGATCTATGTCTGACACAAAGTAAGAATATGATGCAGTACTTCATCACACCCGCTCAATTGGTTGAGTCAACCTAGTCCTCACACCTTCATTGAAGGAGAGAAAACCTTGGGACGTAGTCTGAGTTGATCACTTGACGCGTGAAACACAAAACCAGGAACCTATATATGCGTGCCCCATTTGGCAGCTATCAAATCGACTGTGCCATAAGAGAATAAGAGACAATACTTGCGTACCCCTGCACTGCACAATACCCTCAACAAAATGTGCTGCCGGAAGGCAAGGAACGTCTTAATCTGAAGAAACGGCTTAATTACACTGTCGGATAGGAAACAAAAGAATGACCACAAGAAAAACGTGTGATCAATATTCGTCGTTGCTTTCTTCTGTTAATGTTATTTTGTGTGTTTGGGGACTGTGGCTCAGTCTCTTCACAAGTTTGGATGACTCGATGACTCCATGACCCATTAACTCCTCCTCCCCAACACACACACCACGCGAGGAGGATCTTCCAGATCCGAGTGGCAGTAGATGGTGCGGCGCCCATGGAGGGCTTCGCCCAAGACCCGCTTGCGGCCACCCTCCACGGGCACGAAACAGCTCAAGCGCGGTCTCAAGGGCACCTCACTGGGGCGTCCGAGTCGTCCGGGTCGTCCGATCGTCGAGGTCCCGGTCGTCCGGCAGTCGGCACCGGCACCGAAGCCTTGCTGGGTCATAAGAAGGAGAGGCCAACGAACAGTTCATACCATATTGATGCCCATCGGGATAAATGAATTCAACAACCAGATACCAAGAAACTGTGTGACGTCCACATGTACGACCAATGGAAAGCCAAACTTGCTTCTGCTCCCCTGGCTCTGCTCCCTAGGCACGGCTGCAGTGGCCAAAACAGCTGCACTGAGGAGCGTTCGGGCGCTGTCCAGATCAATGTTGTGGTTGTTAATGCCTTAGTTGTTTGATATTGAAGATGTTTTCAGCAAACATGTCAAGATCAGACTGTCAGACGTCAGAATATCTCTCAAGGGTACATCTGCTTTCTCCAACTCCGGGATAGAATTCAAATTGCCACAAATCGGTTTCTGGGTAAATGTACCACAAAAGTCGAAGCTAGATACAGGAAGAACATGCTTCTATTCCTCCAGACCATCCATCTATGGAAGATATGCCTACATTGACCCCAGGTCAACCACCCCAACTGATCGGCAAACTGATCGGCCAGTCCCATGGATGGTCTCACTCCCAAGCCAGAGCCACCAACCACCCTTGACCAACACCGGTCCAGCCCGAAGCTCTGAGGATGAGAAAATGCCTCACGCCAAACCAGCGTTGCAATCGGTGAGCACGCGTGGGAAAGGCATGAAGTCCCAGTCGATCCTCCTTTTTGGTCTCTCCAATGGGCACCAGCTGGAATAAGAGTTCGTACCTGGAGCGCTGGGCACCATCAGTTCTTTTGACCTCGGAAACCCATCGAAAAACGGGGAAAAAAAAAACCATGTGGGGAACTTGCTTGGAGTGATCTGACCACTGTGGGCTTCACAAGAAACAAAAGACATATGATTCTCCAATGCAATTCTGCTAGTGCAGAGCACATGCGTGTTGTGTCACATGTCCTCCAGCTTCCAGAATTCCCGTTCTGCCAT